GAGGGAAAATTGGGGTAAATAGTATTCTTTATGAAATTCGATACAAAAATGTTTTTTTTTTTCTAATTGGTTTCGGTTTTTCTTTCTTCCTCTTTTGTCATTCCATTCGTCAACTGATTAGTGTGGTGGTGGAGTGTGTTCGAAGATGGCGGCGAACGGGTCCAACATAAAGAGCATTCCATAATCGGAATATTGGAGTGTTTTATTTTGGATTTGGTTTCATTTTATATGTTACTACTCGATAAGAATTATAGGTTTTTTTTTTATGGAGCGATGGAGTGTCTCGTTGAGTGACGTCATTGGGAACAAGTCAAGTTGTGGAGTGTATTAGAATTTTGGTGGAGGTGAAATAGCCTCACCCTTAAGGTAATAACGTTCGGTACTAAGTACTAACTACTAACTTTATTTCATATTGAGTGTCGTCGTTTAAGGTTAATGCACAATATTTAAAAAAAAATATATTAAATAACCTTAATTTTAGCTTAAAAAAAGTTATAATTGACAAAATTACCATTTATGACCTTTTTTAGAGTAAATTGCAAAAAGCACCTATGTGTAAGCTTCAAATAGCGAAAATTTTCATATGATAAATAAACTAGCAAAAAACCCCTATGAAATTACTCAATGTTTTGAAAACCGGACCGGACATCAAACCGGACACGCCACTGGGTCACGGTTCGACCGGTTCAACCGGGGTTCGACCGGGTTTTTCACTTTTTTTTATACATAATTATTTTATTAATTTAATACCTTAAATGTAATATATTTTATATTTTATATTTTCCCTTCCCTTTTTCTTCTCTTTATCATCCAACTAACTCCACTTCTTTTTATAAAATATGAATTTATAATCATTTTTTTTCTTCTCTCTCCTCTCCCCTCTCCCCTCTCTCTTTCTTCTTTCTTCTTCCTCCAACTTTTCACGCAGAAGCCTCTCCTCTTCTTCCCTTCTTTTCTTTTTCTTTTTCTTTATTCTTCTCCTTGTATTTATTATTTCTATATTCTTCTGCCTATTTTTTTCTTCATTTTCTCTTTCACCTTCTTCCTTTTCTTTTCTTCAATAGATCGATATGGCATCCACCACTTCGATTGGGTGACAATACGACACAGATCCGCTTAGATCTGTTCCCCCACAATCTTCTTCGACATGATTCAGTCACCCACGACCACTTTTGAAGCAGATCCGGCTATGGCCTCGCCTTTTGAGTAAAAACCGGTTCTTGGACCGGTTCCCGGTTTTACCGGTTCTTACCGGTCGAACCGGGTTTTTTGTAATTGACCCGGTTTTTTGACAATTTTGGGTTTTCACATCTAACCGGACCGGACTTGGCGGCGGTTCGCGGTTGAACCGGTCGGACCGGCCGGTCTGGTTCGGTTTTCAAAACATTGAAATTACTTATATAGAACACTCGGCCCATTATTCATTTGAATATTGACATAATATAGAAAGACAAAACTACCCAGAGATTTTGCAATTAATAAATTCTTATATTTTATAAATATTAATTATTTTATTTTAGTTATAGCTTATCTTTTATTTCTATTTTTATTATCAGATAATTTCAAAATATATTTTAATATATTCCTACATTAAAAGAAAACTTAAATTTCATTATTTATTTATTTATTTATTTATTTTGTATTTAAAAAACACCTATACATAATTTGATTACCAAATTTTTTATATTTTTTTCAATTTAGTTGTTTACTATTTTTTTTTAATAATATTTTAGTTGAGATACAATTTCATCATTTCAGGTCTAAAAATAGTTACCAGCTGCACATCAAGTGAGTGAGCCACACGTAAGTCAACTGGGGGCTTTCTGCCTTTGACTAAATTTTACATGGGAGTTTTGCTAGTTTACCATTGAACCTATATAAATTAATACAGTCGGAACTAGTAAAATTCTATTCATTTAACGAAATATAAAATTATCGAAGTAACAATTTAGTAGGTTTTAACTGAGTCGGAACCGAAAGAAACTATATTTAAGTGAGATTGTTAATTTATCGAAATTCAACTGTAATTATCAAGAGGGTTTTCGCTATTATCGAAGTAACAATTTAGTAGGGTTTTTTGCAGTTTACTCCTTTTTTTATTATCAATGATAAGGTAAAGTTGACAAACAAAATGTTATTCATTGAAATTCTAAAATAACATTTTATATGAAACGGAGGTAGTATTGTTTATTTCCAAGTAAATTCTATATCCCTCAAACACGTGCGTTTACTTAGAATTCTTCAAAGTATATTCCTATTCTAATTGTTTCAATATTCCTTTAAACAAATAAAAAAAGACACAACCATATAATGATTGAACAAATTACAAAATGTTACAACATAACCTGTCATTTTCTATTCAATCATTCAATGAAACTATACCCTGTGCACTGCAGAAAATAGTATACACTGAAAGAGCAATTCATAAGCTAAAAAAATTACAGTAGAACCTCGATAAATTAATACCCGATAAATTAATAACCTGGCTTAAATAATACATTTTCCCGGTTCTGACTCGGGGACAACGTGCTAAATTAATAATTCGCTAAATTTATAAGATAATACACATTCGGAAATTTTAAGAAGCCCCATATAATATATAAATTAATAATGCATAAAAATAATTCTTAAATTACATGGTACAATACATATTTTATAGATCTACGAAGGCTCAATGAAATATATTTTAATTGCTGCTTGTTTCTTGATGAAGTTCACGTTACCATCAATCTCATCCCTCACTTTTCTTAATATGGTTAGCATTTTTTGTATAGTTTTCTCATAACTCAACAGAAAATTGTTCAATACCATTGTTGCTTTAAGAGTTTCGGTTCGTGAAACATGCTCTATAGTGTATTGAACTAATAGTACAACGAATAATATACACGTAAAAAATAAAAATAAATGTATTTACTGAAAATAATAATAAAAATAATTTCATAAATTAATAAGTTATTAATTAATATATAAATTAATAATTATTAATTTATCGATAAGTTAATATTTCGCTAAATTAATGAAATTTTGATGATCCCAACTGTATTAATTTATAGAGGTTTAACTGTATCTCATTTTATTGGAAAATTGGCTAAAAGTCCCTAAAAAATATCTTGTATAACTAACAATTCGTCCGATATTTTGAATTTGTTAGAAGTCCCTCCGGACAGCTTAGTTCGACAACTTGAGTTGAAAATAGGCAATTTAGTTGAAGAGTTTAAACTGATTATAGACAATTCACACTGAAAATGGACAGTTTAGTTGGAGAATTTGGAATGAAAATACAAACACATCTTAGATGAAAATAACGTTTTTCCAACGATACTGTTACGGAAATTAGGCGGTTGGCGGCATTGGACTAGTAGGGGAAGGCGGATTAGTAGAAGAAATTTCATTATTTGGAATGGATGTGGTTTTGAAAACCGATAAGTTGAAAGATAATAAAGTTATTTCAGTCTAAAATAACTATTTTCTGTCTACGTTCTCTAACTAAGCTGCCCACGGACTTTTAGTAAAATGCAAAAATACGACTGTCCTAATTTGAAAGGGGATTAGTGTTCAGAGATGTTCAGCAAATTGCCCCTTTTT